ACCGGCCGGAAATTTTTTTCAGGAAAACGAAAATTCCAAAAAAAAAAAAAAATTCAAAAAAAAAAAAAAAAAAAAAAAAGTCAACGCCGGAATCTGGCCGGAAAAAAATATTTCAGAAAAAAAATTTATTTTCTGAAAAAAAAAAAGTTTCGGGGTTAATGTGATATATTCGTTTAAATCCGGGGTCAATGTGTAATATTTAAGAAGTTAGAGCATAATGGGTGGAATTGATAAGAATTAGGGTTAAAATTGGGGTCAAAATTGAAATTAGGTTTAAAATTGGTTAATTGATGAAATTGGGCTAAATTGGGGTGTAAATCATGAAATTGGAGTTGAATTGGGTTTCAATGAATTGGGGGTAATTTTGGTATATATAAAGGGATTTTCCTTAGTTGCAAATAAGTTTGAATGGGGTGGGTTTAATTGAAAAACAAAAAAGTTGGATGTCCCTTTTTTAATTAAGTGCCCTTGTCATGGGCCTATTTGCCATTACCCCTTTAATATAATTACCTAACTACTTCGAAGTTATGTTTCTTCGCCTGACTGGTCTTCTTATTCGCAGACAAGTTTAATGGAAACAAATGCAAATGAAAGTGAAACTGAAAGGGTGTGGTCTTCTGATTTGCAGACAAGTTTAATGGAAACAAATGCAAATGAAAGTGAAACTGAAAGGGTGTTGTCTTCTAATTTGCAGACAAGTTTAATGGAAACAAATGCAAATGAAAGTGGGGTGTGGTCTTCACCTTCAAGTGAGATTAAAAATATAGTACTAGTTGGACGAACAGGTGATGGAAAAAGCGCAACAGGGAATAGTATACTTGGAAAAAGGGTATTTAAGTCAATGTCCAGCTCTATTGGTGTTACCACCAAATGCGAGATGCACACAACTGTACTGGAAAATGGGCAGAATCTAGCCGTGATTGATACTCCAGGTGCGTACATGCATATCAAATTAGGGTTTCACATGATATAAAAAGAAATTTATATTAGGGTTTTTTTGTCGATAACATTTTCTTGATATATCAATCAAATGCAAATGTCAGGATTATTTGATTATTCTGGTGATTCTGAATTACTTCTAAAAGAAATGTGTAAATGCATGGACATGACAAAGGATGGAGGTATCCATGCAATTATTCTTGTCATGACAATTAGAACTCGTTTTTCAAGAGAAGAAGAAGATGGTTTGTTGATGTTGCAGAATTTTTTTGGCCCCGAAATTATGAACTACATGATTTTAGTTTTCACCGGCGGTGATCAATTTGAAGAGTATGGTATGAGCCTCGATGATTACTTGGTTGGTTCTGATTGCCCAGGCCCCTTGAAGGTATGAAAATCTTTGTATTTAGCTTATCAAGAAGTGGAACTTGCTGTCGGAAATTAAATTTGAACATAATTACACTATCGGATATTTTGCGGAAATATGTGAACATAAGGAAATAATTGTGGAGTACCAACTCCTTCAACATGTTTCACTCTTGCTAAAACTTGTTGAATTATAAGTACAAACTGATCAAGACTTATTTATTATCATGCATGCCTCATAATAAATTATCATGAATCATATATAAACATGTATCCTATCATATATTATACATGCATGTGGATATTTATTATGTTTGGAGCGTCTACCGAGCAGTTTAATCTTATAAATTGTCTTTTAATTGTTTCTTCAGAAGAACATGTGTATATATATATATATATATATATATATATATATATATATATATATATATATATATATATATATATATATATATATATATATATATGTGTGTGTGTGTGTGTGTGTGAATTTATACGCTATAATGCTTGCCTTTTCTTTTCTCTTGTTTTTTTCCCATTTGAAGAATTGTTCATCATTCATAATTAGTTGTTTGTGATTTTGACATAGGAAACTCTGAGAATGTGTGGGAACAGGCGTGTTCTTTTTGATAATAAAACAACCGATGAAGCCAAGAAATCTGAACAGCAGAAGCAACTTCATGCCCTATTAAATACGGTTGCACACAACAATGGTGGAAAACCATATACACATGATGCAATTGTAGATACAAATGTAGGAGAAAAGTTTACAAATATTTCCTCACCGGGTGCACCAAACAAACAACTTGCTCTAACCACTAAAGTTAATTCCTCCAAGGCAGATAATATATCTGGATTTAAAAGCGATGACCACTCGGCACTCATCAAGTCATATGACGAGCAGGTGGAAATTGCTCAACTCAAGGAAGAAATTGTGAGACTAAATGCTTTGAGGAAATCAGATCAAGAAAAACATAAGCTAGAAATACAAATAGAGAGAGCTAAGAGGAAGAATAAACAGACCATCAATCTGCAATCTGGCGATGGGTCTAATACGCGTCGTTCCTGCCAGATGTTGTAAATCATTTCGGCATCTACTTGAAAACTTAACGCCAGCCGAGCCGGCCAATGTTTGGTTCTGTTTTGGTATTCTTTCCAGTACTCCCGCATGCTGTGGTTGAAAGATATACTAGAATTTATTTGTTTGATGATCTCTACCGATCGAGTGTGTGTATTTATTATATATTCTTCTTTTCAATATGCATGTGTGTATAATAATGGATGAATAAACATTTGTTTGTGTGCACTCTTGTGATTCTTGTTCACTTTGTTATAGCCTCTCTTCAAGTCTGAACATTATAATTATGAACAATAAGAACTAGAGAATGAAGTAAGTTGATGTGTTGATGGGTACTAAAGAATAAGAATATGAATATATATATTCTTATTCTTTACAAATTGCTCTTTATTATCCATTTATCGATCTAATAAGCAAAAGCTACAACATGTTAGCAAATTGTCAATAAAACTAATTTGTAACACTTTATAACCCAAGTATAGATCAACATACAAATAAGAAAATGTAACACTTTCTCTCTCAATTATTCTAGTAAAAATAGAAAATTACACTTTTCATCCATCAAGTTTGCACCAATTTTACATTTGGCTCCTCGTGTTTCAATAATTTAATATTTCTGGTCATTTTCGTTAATTTACCATTAAGTTCGCCAGTTTAGGCAGCCACGCGAACACGATTGATTATGTTAGTAGTAACTGAAAATTGAGGAGAGTGACTAGAAGTGATGAACTTTTGAAAATGAAGGACCAAATATGTTATTTTGTGAACGTAGAGGACCAAAAGTAAAATAGATGAAACTTGAGGGGTGAAAAATGTATATTTTTTCCTTGGAAAATTTACAGTTTTCATCCCTCAACTCTGCATTGATTTCACATTTGATCCCTTATGTTCGCTAAAACATATTTGGTCCCTTATGTTTTAATAGTGTAACATTTTTTTGTCATTTTCCTCAATTTACCGTTACTTCTTCAGTTACGCCAATGATTGGAACATATTTGATTCCGTTAGTACTAATTTAAAATTGACGAAAATGACTAAACGTGTTGAATTTTTGAAATATGAGGGATTAAATATGTTTTTTTGTGAACGTATAGGACCAAATGTGAAATCGGTGTAAACTTGAGGGACATAAATTGTATTTTTCTCTATTTGGAATGGAATCAAACTCTTAATAGTAAAATAGAAAGACAATAAGGTAAATCCGGACTTATTCAAATTCAATTATAAGTATTATTTATTAGAAAATTTACAGTATTCATCCATCACGTTTTTACTGATTTTCCATTTGGTCCTTCATGTTCACAAAAAATATATTTGGTCATTCATGTTTTATAAATTCAACACTTTTAGTCCATTCCGTCATTTTTTTGTTAAAACTAACCGAATCAAGCGTGTGCCTATCGCTGCCTTAATTGACGGAAATTACCAAAAGTGTTAATTTTTTGAAGCATAAGGGACCAAATGTGTTTTTATCTGAACAAGGAGGATGAAATGTGAAATCGGTGCAAACTTGAGGGACCAAAACTGTAGTTTTCCCATTATTTATCTATTTATTTTTTTGGCCAGATTTAATCTTCCAGTGCAATTGCAAGAACTGCAGGAACAACAACCGTAGGGATCATCGAGGAGTGCGTAGCTCGTATCCGCCGCCCGGCGATGGAAGCAATGCGGTGAATCACACTGCTGTCACCCAAACCACCGAATCAGATGCCCTTTCTTATTCCATTCTCTCTTCTCCTTCAATCCCCCTTCTTTCTCTCTCTCTCTATATATATATGAACACACATTTCTCTCTCTACATTCGCATACATTAATTTCTACCTGCTGTTGAGTGTTGATACATTAATTATTCCGCAATTTTATACTCCGAAATGCTTCATTTAGAGCATCAATTCCGGGGCTTGGTCGCGGTTAGTGAAGATTCGCCGCTGAATAATCTGCACTCGATCGGCGGTTTGTTTCTAGAAGAATCCGCGCCGGCGTCACTCATTTCGTTAATTTGTCCGAAGAAGAGCGCTGCCTGTGCGACGGTTTCGTGTTCCTCTCGGAGGAGTCGCCGGAGAGGATTCATCGGAGACGGGCGGCGGCGGCGGCGGGGAGGGTTTTTGTCGGTGACGGTGTCGTCGGGTGACGACGGTGGTGGTGAGGAGTTTTCAGTGAGTAGTGTTTTGGGGAATGGGGAGGGAAAGAGTGAAAATGAGGGTGAGTGTGAAACGCTGTCGTTTAAGGAGAAGAATGGAACTTGGAATACTGCAAACCATCTCTGGGCGGGTGCTGTTGCTGCTATGGTCTCAAGGTTTGTTAATCGATTCTCTTTTTCGTATTTGCTCTGTGGTATTATTTACCTCGACGAAAGGATTTGTGATTGAATAACAATGTTTACAGTCAGTAATAGCATACATGTTTTTGCTTGCTTATAATAGATTTATGCATAATCGGTTGTCGATGTATAATCGTACATTTATGCAGCCAATTTAAGTTATATATGTTTGTGTTTCTTTTATCACACTCTTTAGAGCTTTTATCCCACTCTTTAGAGTCGTTCTGTAACATTTTTGACTGGTCACGAGATCTACTCTTTCACGTTTTTTGGATGATAGATAGTGCGTTTACATGGATAACATATAAGAGACTTCGTTGTGCTGCCACATCTTAAATGAAAGATAACTCAAATTTTTGCTTGGTTTATTGGTAACTGCACATGTCGTTGGCTCTCGTATAGTTAACCATTACTTCACCTGCTTTGCAATTCAATAGCCAAATAGCCAATTTATTTCAGTTGTGTGATTTTAGTGCTTAAGTTCAAGAAATTGGAAAATTGGGTGTTTCTTGTCACCATCCTATCACCTGGGTATACCAAATGTCGAACGAATATTGTTACATGCCGATATCCCAATCATATTGGTCACTGTTAACTGCTTTGTAAATTTTGTATATGGTAATCGTGCATTGATCTGCATAACATTTTGAATCTCCTTTTTTTTTTGTTACTGCAGAACTTTTGTTGCACCGTTGGAGAGATTAAAGCTGGAATATATAGTTCGTGGGGAACGAAGGAATATTGTTGAGCTCATTAAGTCAATAGCAGCTTCTCAAGGGCTCAAGGGATTTTGGAAAGGGAATTTTGTCAATATCTTACGAACTGCACCATTCAAGGCTATCAATTTCTATGCTTATGACACGTATAGAAAGCAACTGCTCAATTTTTCTGGCAACGATGAGACGACAAATTTTGAGAGGTTCGTTGCAGGTGCTGCAGCTGGAATTACTGCTACGGTACTCTGTATACCTATGGACACTGTGAGTGACACTTAAATATTCTCTTTACTTGCAAGTAGTTGCCTGCGTGAGTGATACTAATTGTCGAAGATGATTAAACTATCTAATATGTTATTTTGCTTTTTTTTTTTTGGATGCTTACATCTTTATATATAAAAGTAAGAAATGCTAGGACAACCTAATTAAAATCCTAATAAACTCGGAGAGTTTTTTTTTTTTTAAGTTTTGCAATTTCTCTTTGTACAATCTCTCTTTCTCTTTCTCTTACACACACATCTGGATTTTTTTTTTAATTATTGAAGAGTGAAGCAAAATCTCACTCGCTCACACATACACCAACGTGGAATTTAAAAAAAAAAATTCCCCTGCCTATTTCTGCCTTTTGTTTAGTATATGTTTTTTTTGTCAGGATTTGTATGATCTATTTGTAAGAATATTGATGTTATTTTAGTAATTTAAATTTCACAAGTAATTATTTTAACATTGTGTATTTTTTTAATACAATTTAATTATCATATTTTTTTTCCTTTTTGCAATGCTACTCCGTGCATCGCACGGGGAGAATTGCTAGTAAGCTTAATATGAATTAAACTCTGATCATCCAAGAGTCCTCACTCTTGGTAAAATCATTGTGCACATTCCAATTTTTAGCAATCGCGCTAAATAAAAAGTCCTGTAAACTTTTGATGTCACCCAATAAGGAGCTATCAATGTCAAATTTGCTGCATCTGGCTTCAATGTAAGTGAACAGTTAGTCCAGTTACCATTTAGTACTCAGATTTAGTAGTCATTCATTCAATGATCACTGTAATTCAATTACAACTCGGAAAACCTTGTTTTATAATGTATGGATGACATATAGAACATGTCCCATAGGATTAATTAGTGATTATTTATTTGCACATATTTAAGGTGTGCTACGCAAAATAGGATTTAGTAGCTTAGTTTAATGATGATAAACAAAGTAGTCAGCAAATTTGAGTAAATGTTTTCTTTCAATTGTATTGTCTGTGAATTAGAGATAAGTTGTGCTTGATACTAAGTGAACTTTCGCAAAGGATTAATTCGAAATTGTTTATTATATCCAACTACATATGTTTGTAGAATCATTTATTTTTTTCGAATATTTCAGATCTATAGTTTGGAGAATCATTTATTTTTTTCGAATATTTCAGATCAGGACAGTGATGGTAGCTCCGGGAGGGGAAGCATTGGGTGGATTAATTGGTGCATTTCGCCACATGATCCACACTGAAGGGTTCTTTTCACTTTACAAGGGCTTAGTTCCCTCGATCATTAGCATGGCACCTTCTGGTGCCGTTTTTTACGGAGTTTATGATATATTAAAATCGGCATATCTGCATTCCCCGGAAGGGAAAAAAAGGCTTCAACATATGAAGCAACAAGGTGACGAATTGAATGCTTTGGAACAACTCGAGTTGGGCACTCTCAGGACTTTAATTTATGGAGCGGTAGCTGGTGCTTGTGCAGAAGCTGCTACATACCCATTTGAAGTTGTGAGGAGACAGCTTCAGATGCAAGTTCGAGCCACAAAAATGGGTGCTTTGCAAACTTGCATGAAGATTGTTGAGCAAGGTGGCATTCAGGCTCTCTATGCTGGATTAATCCCAAGCTTACTCCAGGTAAGAGCTGAAAAAACAAAAAAAAATTGCACGTATGTCTTTTGTGGTTGTCTTTTCCAGCTTCAACTGATGATTTAAAACTGTACTACGTAGGAACAACATCACTATTTGTCTAGTCTGTTATATTGAACTTAGGCATATCTTTAATGATTGGTTATCCATGGTTGTCTTTTCCAGCTTCAACTCATGATTTAAAACTGTACTACGTAGGAACAACATCACTATTTGTCTAGTCTGTTATATTGAACTTAGGCATATCTTTTATGATTGGTTATTGGATATGTAGGCCCTCCAGCTTCAACTGATGATTTAAAACGGTACTACGTAGGAACAACATCACTATTTGTCTAGTCTGTTATATTGAACTTAGGCATATCTTTAATGATTGGTTATTGGATATGTAGGCCCCAGTCGAATCTACTTTACGGTAAAATCGATCCAAGAAGTTCTTGGATGGATTTCCAATGACATGAACATTTAGATTCTTGTTAGCCATTGAACATATAATCTTTGTTGTGGTCTTTAAATCTTCATATTAGCAACTGAATCAATCACCTAACTTTTATAGTAGAACCTTTGATTCACTCTTCTAGATCTGGTTGGTTTGCTTAGAATTGCTTGGATCTCTAGAACATTCTGTCTTTAAATCTTCATATTAGCAACTGAACCAATCACCTAACTTTTATAGTAAACCTTTGATTCACTCTTCTAGATCTGGTTGGTTTGCTTAGAATTGCTTGGATCTGTAGAACACTCCAAAGAATTTCTACAAAATATCTACAAAGGGAGGGTTATAAAAAGTTTTCTAGAATTCTCTAAGAATCTCTACCAAGTTTATTTACATTTGAGCCAAACCCTATTTCGTAGAAGCACATTGACTTTGTCGTTGAGAAGAAAAATCGTTGGTTAAAATGCGAAGCATGCTTACACACTATTTACCGCAGAGTCGTTTCAGCACTACTTGTTATTTATGCCGAACTATTTCACGACCTAGATAGATTAGTCATTTTGTTCTTACCCATTTGTTTGGTAAGATAAACCATGATTAATTAAATAATTAGGTCTCATTTAATGTTTGGTCCGTGCAATAACTTTTCGAGGCCAAGCTGCAATTATGAAAAAATGAGCTCTTATTTTAGTTATACAATTGATGTCTCTTAAGATTGCATATCTTGGTTAATCTTTCTCTCGGAAACCAAGCATTTTCTTTTTCGGTTTTTCATAACGAAATTATGAATTTAACCTTGATGTATTTGTGTTATGTTTCAGGTGTTACCTTCAGCTGCCATAAGTTACTTGGTCTATGAGTTCATGAAGATAGTTCTTAAAGTTGAATAAAAGTAAGAGCTAATTGCTTAGTTACGCTAATCAAAATTTGACGACATTTTTTTTAAGATCTCTTCTTAGTTTTAATATTAAATTAGGATTTGCAGGTAACTTTGTGGTAGATTTAATTTTTTTAAGCTAATAATCTGTTGGAGATCGTCTTGACTGGTTAATTATTTTTTAAATGTTGGGTGGAATTTCCACGTGCCAACCACGTGATAGTTGAATCACAGCATCTCTTTGTCCCTGCACTTCTGTGCTTTAGGAGGAAATCTTTTTAAAGAGTTACATGTAATTGTTGCTAATTTTGGGGGCATAATCGGCATCATGAATGTCACCGCTCGAATCATTTTATATATAAAAGAAAGAAACGATGGGCAACCCTAAAAAATCCTAATGGTATTTCTGTAATTATTTATTTTTAATATTTTTTCTCTACTAATTTCTAACTATAATTTTTAACAATTATAAAAATTAAAACTAACCCGTGAAGAATCCTACCTTATTGCTACTTATGTAATTATTTATTTTTAACATTTTTTATGTACTATTTTTTTAACTATAATTTTCAACAATTATTGATCTCCTAATTTTCATCAATATATCTCAAATCTTAAGAGATAAAGCTAGAAATTCAATATGAATAATACTACATTATTAAATTTATATAAATTATATATTCTTATTATGTATTAAATTGATTATTATTTTTTCACTATTTAAATAATATCCCGTGCATCGCACGGGAAAAAAATGCTAGTTTGTAGTAATATGAAAGCTCCTCCCTTTTATTTATTTTTGAAAAAAAATCTCTATGGTCACTTTCTTGAAGTTAAAGAGACGTAATTCAATAAATTCTAATGGTCCCACTAAATGTTGTCTGTATATGAACATGAAATCATATGATGTTGAATATGTAGTTAGCTTGTGAAATATTTGGCAGTGATTATCGAGTATTCAAGTCCGTACACCTTGCTATGTTTGTGAGTATGAAAGAAGTTCATAATTCATTGTTTGGCACTTAATATAATTAATTAAGGAGCTTTTTGATATAATTAAAGAGCTTTTTGATGAATCCCCAAATAATATAATAATAGAGAAATGTTAAAATCATTCACTTTGTTTAAATAATCTAACGGATAAATTACGGCCTCTCTCTGAAGTAATGCTAAATTACAAAAAAAAAAAAATCATGTTTGGATAATTACAATCACCCCTCAAATGTGAATTTTTGTATATGTCCATTTTTGCGGTGTTTAATTTAGTGGAATCTTTTAGATTATGTGGGATATTCTGCTATTTGTACCCATTCTACCCCATTCGAGCTTCAAATTTTGAAACCAGGTGATTATAAGACGTGTCTTTTGGCTTGTAAATATCAGATTGTAGTCCATTATAAACTGTATTTTTGCACAAAATGAGTACAATCTAGAGAACTTCCACGAAGTCTAGAAGATTCTGTTAAATTTGGCACTATAAGAATGTACTTGTAAGAAGAATCATACTTGAGGGGTGATTGTAATTACCTGAGGAGAGTTTTCGTAGTTTGACCTTACCTCGGGGGTGGCCGTAATTTACACCAATCTAAATAGGAATTCTCCAATCACCAAAAATGAAGTCATTGACTTCGAAGTGCCACCGACAACCTCCTCCTCACCGACGGCCACCGCTGAGGCACCGCATCTAGACATCCCTCCACCACCGTGGCACTACCGTCTATACATCAAAACACCTTAACAGTCGTTGAGGCACACCACCGTCTATACATCAAACACCTCCACCACCGGAGTCGAGACAACCCTCCCCTTAGAAACCAACAACTTTCTCCTCTACGGTTCCGACCAAACGTATTGCGTGACAGAGCTTCTCCCATCCGTCCACTGCATTATGGTTTTTCTTCCATTGATTTTAATATTGTTATGTGACAGTTTATGTAATCGACTACAGTCGATTAATAAATTAACTAAATTTGTGATGACGTAAAAAATAAATCACCTAATGTGTTGAAGCTGGGAGAGCAAAGTAGGTCACGTGCTCACGAGCTAGATAGTCCTGAGAACTTTAATTTGCTCTAGGATCCTGCGAACAGAAAACACGTAATCTAAGCCGGGGGTTGATCCGGCGGAAACCCCTCCGACGCTCAAGTCAGACGTGAAGATAGTTGGTAATTGTAGAGAGAATTCCTCAAGAAGAATTGATTGAATAATAATAACGTACCTTCATTCAATGAATTTAAGTTCTATTTATACTTTATTGATTGGGTCGAGACAATTTATCGGGCCCAACCTTATTTGGGTTTGATTGGGCCTCTGTAGAAATAATTATTAAGTTGGGCCTGTGGTCCAGTAAATGTGGGCTATTGGGCTGGGCCAATAGGCATATCATTAAGCCCCCCACTCTCGAATCGATGTGGGAGCGAATTGGAGAGAGGTGCCGGATCGTGTCGAGAGTAGAATTGGATTTCAAATACTTGCTTGTGTCGTTGAGGTGAGGATAATAATAAAATTTTATTATTATTTTGTTGTCCCATCGGTGAGCGGATTCATATTTAAAGTGCTTTAAATATAAATTTGTTCGTAGGAGTAGGTAATTCCTTGTGAAAGCAGGAGAGAGGAGTATCAAGAACCACGTCGAATAAATATGGGTGAGTAATACTATTTTTTATTTTATATATCTCCGTAACATATTTTGCTCCATATACTCCGTTGTAGAAAATAATATATTCTCTGGGGTGAGAAGATCCTCAGATAGAAGAATTTATATGTCCTAAACGGTGAAGGCGAAACAGTTGAAAATTATCCTGCGAAAGTCGATTGTAGAAACCGAGATGACCTTTGGAACCGTAGGGAAGGTAATTGGGTCGAGTTCTGGTAAAAAAATTGCACCGGAGAAAGAAATCGCGCGTACCGATTGCACGCGATCAGGTTTATCCGGAGAAATTGCTGCAGAACCAGTGGACGAAGCCGCGCGGCTCGAAGATGTGAGGGGAGCCGCGCGATTCGGCTCCGCGCGAAGTGGAGCCGCGCGATCTGTGTGTGGAGGTGAAGCCGGGCACGGAGCCCAGAGTGGAGTGGAGAGAGAAGAGAGAGAGAAGGAGGGGGAAGGAGGGGTAGGTGGGGCTGGAGGGGTGGTGCACGTGGGGGGGGGTGATAGGCAGGAGAGAGAAGGAAGGGGTAGGGGGGTAGGTAGGCAGGAGAGAGAGAGAGAGGAGGGAAGGGGTAGGGGGGTAGGTAGGCAGGAGAGAGAAAGAGAGGAGGGAAGGGGTAGGGGGGTAAGGCGGGGTGCATCGCGCGGGGGGGGGTACCCGTGCGGCGCGCGGGACGGGGGGTTTCAGACGCTCCCGCGCGTGGGGGCGCGTTGGGGGGCGCGTGCGGGCGTTTCAGACGCGCCCGCGCGTGGGGGCGCGTTGGGGGGCGCGTGCGGGCGCGTGGGGGGGCCGTTTTCGGCCGTTTTCGAGGAGCATCCTCCCGTTTCTTCTCCCGATGATTTTTTGGCATCAAATGTTGGTATTCCTAATATTGGTGATGATGTTGGTACTAGTAGGAGACGTATTCGGTCTCAATTTGTGGACTTTGGGAGTGATAGTGAAGAATCGCTTAAGTCGAATTCTTCTAAGGAGTCGGAGGGATCCGAGAGTGATGTAAATCCGGATGGAGACGCGGGAGATGGTGATGATATTCCACGAGAAGATGTCATTATAGATAAAAATAAAGGGAAGAAAATAAAACCACTTAATTTGAGTTTGGTGGATTATGATACTTCGTTAACCGAATCTCAATTCGGTATTCTCCGTCAGCTAGTTGGGGCTCCGAGGAATATTGAGATGCTCTTACCTAAAAAAGGTGAACGATTGTATGCACCCCCCGTAGGGTTCCACACCCAATACGTCGCATATTTGACATGTTCCTCGCAGATTGTGCCTCACTCCACTCTTTTGAATGTATGTGAGGAATTTCGGATAGGATATAGTCAATTAACTCCGAACGTGATTCTCACGTTCGAAGCTTTTCGACAAAGAATGATCGAAGTAGGATTACCGATTAGTGTTGAGATGTTCAAGGCCTTGTTTACCCTACATCGTTCAAGTGATTTACCCTTCTTCTGCACACATCCTCGGGTTCCTTTCAGATTTTTGAAGAGTATTAGCTTGAAGTGGGATAAATGGAGTACTTTATTTTTTTATGTAAGGGCTCCGACGTCTGATGTTCCGCTTGTTTGGAATCCGGTATGCGAATCTTTTAAGATAATGAAGAATATGAAGAAACGTATTAAGGAGTCGGGGTTGTGTGCTTTGGAGTTCGATCCGAGTTGTCTTATTCCAAAGGGTCGGGCGCCTACACCGTTGCATGTAGTCTACATGTTTTATGCCTTTGTGCCTTATTTGGTGTTGTCTCTGCTATTCTATTTTATCCGTGAGTAAATGGTTTTTTTTTTTTTTTTTTTTAGATGGGTGTATTGATTTCGCGGCTCTTCGGAAGAAGGCTACTGGAGGTGCGAAAAAGCAAGCGAAGAGGGATCCTTTGAAGCAAGCGAAATCAAGTAGTAGCAAATCGCGCGAAGTGACCCGCGTGGAGGCTCCGCATGTGAGCGGAGATGATCGTAATCATAATGTCGAGGGGGGTGAGCTGGATCGAGTGGTTAATAATGGGAAGGATGAGTTGGTTGAGATCGAGTATGTGCCTGCACCGAAACGGCCTCGAGTGGATCCTGAGGTTTCTCATGTGCCTCCAGGGGGTGCAGGCAAATGCCTGTTCACGTACGGGGTGAACCGAGAGGGGAAGGATTCTTTGTGGGATACGACCGATCATACTATCGCGTTGAAGAAGACCGAGGATTTCGTTGGGGAGTACGACCGAAGTCGGATGTCGGGTAAAGGTCGTGCTCATATGCTTTCATTGGCTGGAGGAGACATGTGTCGGGTAAATTTTTTTTTTTTTTTTTTTTTTAAATTATAAGTTTCGATAATCTAATATTATCTGTTTGAATTTTGATATAGCTTATAGCTATATGGAGGTATCTTCTGGAGCAGGAGGAGCAAGTCGAGAAGACCAATGAGGAGGAGCGTTCTGGTTGGGAGGCAAGGGAGAAAGAGCTAAAGGCTCAATTGGAGGCAGCAGAATCCAAACTAGAAGTGGCCGAGACTCTGCTCATTCAGAGGACCGATGAATTGGAGATTAGTAGGAGCGAGACCGAGGCGAGTAAAATTGAACTAATGAAACTAGATCGGTGTTATGACGAGCTGAAGGAGAAATATGATGTCGAGAAGTTTACGGGGAAGAGGTTTTTGGCTTCCTCAGCTGGAGCTGCTTACAAGGAATCAATTATGTTAGAAGGGGAAAGTCGCTTTCAGAAGAGTGATATCTGTCGAGCTATGATCGAAGATCGAGCAATAGCTGGGGTTTATGCTCCTTTGGTTAGGACGTGTCGTCAGTATTTACGCAAGGTTGGTGGAATTGACGAGAAGATTATTCGAGGTATGGAGGAGGACATTCCTGATGATGGAGAGGATATTGATGTTGAGTGTACTGAAATTGCTTCGGATGCGGAAGCGGATGACCGAACTACCGAAGCTACTTCTGCTCGTAAAGTGTAGTTTGGTGTGATGTTATGTTTATTTTCCTTAGAAAAGACTTGGTTTTTTTTTTTTTTTATTAAGTGGGTATGTCCACTAGTATTTTTGCATGCTTCATGACTTGGTATTTGTTTGCACCTTGAGACGTTGATTTTGCTATCAAAGTTATTATTTCTTTTTATTCATTGATTTCGCACTAATGTTTTGCATATAGCATTGTTCGAGATATTCTTAATGAGGGGATCAGTCTCTCAAGATTTTTTTATAATTTTTTGGGATCATGCCCTTTATTTTGGACCTCGTAGGTCGGAGTATTATTTAGTCCATGGCCACGTTTTAAGCATGAGGACCCTGAAAATCAAAATAGAGAGACTCAGATAATCCAGCTGGCCAGGCTATATGGACTATCTTAATTTCTCTAAGTGTTTTTAGGGTTGAAGTGAGATGAACCCGTCGTAACGGTTAAGTAGTATATGAACAATAACTTTGAGAGTAAAGTAAAAACTTGATTTAATCATTAATAAGAAATGCGAATTGTCATAAGCTTCCGTGAGGCGAAGGGAAATAACTTGTAAAAAACAAATAAATCGAACTATTGAAAAGTAATCTATGTGACTATAAGAGATTTTATTCTTCTTCCACGTCTTCCTTGTGCTCATCCGTGCTTGGTGTAGGGTAGTATGTCTACTGTCTTTTGGTGTCTCTTTGCCTGAAAAGTATCGGGGTAAAAAAATTCAAGTACTTGTATTGAAGACTTAATAGTTTCATAAGTTGGAGTGATGCGTATTTGGAATCACGTACTCAATATTGGGACTTTTTCTGTTCCTCGCATTCCGAGATATGAGAACAACTCATGAGTTGCGGTGGATTGATGCGCGACCCTGCCTGTCAAAGGAGATGGCGTTATTATTTAGTATAGAGACCCACTAATGTGCTTGTGATATGACTTAGTAAAAGTGGTGTTACCCTTAGTGAGATAGTACAGAGTATCTTCTCTCTTTGGGTGAATGGTGGTCAGTAAGCATCCTCTCGTAATTGGCTCTCAATCTGTAAGAAGATGATGAGACGTGTTATGGAAGGTTGATGTAGATAATATCACTAGCCCCCCTAGTTTGGGAGGGATGTCTACACACCTCGTTATGGAGTCCCTTCTCGAGCTTTTAGAGACATTTTTGCATGAAGAGAGACGTGGAAGGTTGTGAAGCCTGCAAGGCGACTTTCGTATGAGGAAGATGTAGATGTAAACTTAAACAAATTTGATTTAAGATGGATGTATACCTCAAGCGTAGAACCTTTTGAGATTCCCTATATTCCAGGTTCTGGGTATAGGGTGTCCGTCGAGGTTCTCGAGACGATATGCTCCATTGTTAATCACTTGTGTGATTTTATATGGTCCTTCCCACTTCGGGTCGAGTTTGCCGATTGGGCGTGAGGCTTCGGCTTTGCGGAGAACTAAATCTCCTACTTGGAAAGAGCGAGGGCGGACTTTAGAGTTATAAACTTTCGCCATACGACTCTTGTACATTTGCTGTCTGATGGATGCAATCTCTCTTAGCTCGTCGACGAGATCGAGGTTAGCCCTCATTGCTCCTTCATTCTCCTCTGGTGAATAATTGATGACTCTCCAAGAGGGTTCGCCAATCTCTACGGGTGCTACAGCCTCTGTTCCAAAAGCTAGGTTAAATGGAGATTCTCCTGTTGCTGTTCGTGGGGTTGTTCGATATGCCCACAGAGCATTGGGTAATTCTTCAACCCACTTTCCCTTGGCACTTCCAAGCCTTGTCTTGAGATGTTGAAGTATCGTGCGATTGGTTACTTCAGTTTGACCATTTGCTTGGGGGTTTGCCACCGAAGTGAAGAATTGCTTAATAGATAAGCCAAGGCACCAACTCTTGACTTTGTCTCCACAAAATTGTGTTCCATTGTCCGAAATAATGGAACGGGGAATGCCGAAGCGGCACACAATGTTTTTCCAAAGGAATTGGATGACGTCTTCTTCTCGAATGCGAGCTAAAGGTTCTGCTTCTACCCACTTGGTGAAGTAATCTACAGCTACAATGAGGAACTTGCGTCCTCCTGTTGCTGGTGGAAAAGGACCGACCAAGTCAACTCCCCATTGAGCGAAAGGTATGGGACTGGCAATCGGTTGCATCAATGCTGCGGGGAGATGAAGGATGTTAGCGTGTTCTTGGCAAGGCTTGCATCTCTGCACTAGTTTTTTCGCATCTTCATGCATGGTGGGCCAATAGTAACCTTGTCTCAATATTTTGAGAGCTAAGTTTCTTCCACTTAAATGATTACCACAAATGCCTTCATGTACTTCCCGAAGCACATAGTCTGCTGCTGATGGGTTAAGGCATTTAAGATAGGGGGAGGAGAACCCTCGCTTGTAGAGATCTTCACCTATCATTAGGAAACGGGCCGCCCTTACCTTTATTTTCTTCGCTTGGGCGATGTCAGTCGGAAGTTCCCCGCTTTTGAGATAGTTTGTAATGGGGGTGATCCAACAGGGTTCGCTCTCTTCAGCGCAATTCACTCCGTCGGTGGAGACTATTTCTGGTTGGGAAGCCGTGAGGAGGGTGATTTTCCGGCTTCCAATGCTTGCCATGGAACTACCAAGTCTAGCCAACTTGTCTGTATCAATATTGTTGGCTCGTGGTACTTGCTTTATCTCGTAGCTATCCAATTTTGAGAGGAGGGTAAGTGCAAGAGCAAGGTACTTTGCCATGGATTCTTCTTTGGCTTCATAGTTCCCAAGGACTTGGTTGACCACCAACTAGGAGTCGCTGTGTACTATGAGTTTGCGAGCTCCAGCTGCTAAAGCGAGGCGGATACCAGCGATCAAAGCTTCATATTCGGCTTCGTTATTAGAGGCTTTGAAATCAAACCGTTTAGCATACTCGAATTCATCGCCATCTGGGCTTGTTAGTACAATACCCGCGCCTCCTCCTGTAGCGGTAGATGATCCATCAACATTGATGGCCCAAGTGGGTATGGATGTGCTCTCTTCCGATGTAGTCATCTCTACTACAAAGTCTGCTAGGATTTGAGCTTTGATGGCTGGGCGTGGTTTGAACTCAACCCCATATTCACTTAGCTCTATAGCCCATTTAGCTAATCGTCCGGAAGTCTCGGGACTTCTCAATATTTGTTTAAGGGGATAGTTGGTGAGAACTATCACCTGGTGCGACTGGAAGTACGGACGTAACTTTCTGGCTGCATTGATGAGCGCGAGAGCAAGTTTCTCCATATTGGTGTAACGGTGCTCTGGGCCTTGGAGAGCTCGGCTTATGTAATATATCGGTTGGTGACCTTTTTCACCATCCCGAATGAGCACTGCGCTAATGGCATCAGCAGAAATGGCCAAGTATAGGAAAAGAGTATCTCCCGGCTGGGGCTTCGTTAGTAGAGGTGGGGAAGTGAGATATGCTTTCAATTCTGTGAAAGCTCTTTGACAGTCTTCATTCCACTCAAACTTTTTCCCACCTCTTAGTATCTTGAAGAAAGGAAGACCCTTATCAGCCGATCGGGATATAAATCGGTTTAGGGCTGCCAAACAACCATTAAGTTGTTGGACCTTCTTAATCGATGTGGGAGGGGCCATGGAGGTGATAGCTTCAATCTTTGCTGGGTTGGCTTCAATTCCCCGTTGTGATATCATATATCCTAAGAATTTTCCGCCTCAAACTCCAAAAGAACATTTTAGGGGATTGAGCTTCATCTTGTATTTACGTAAGATGGAGAAGCATTGACTTAAATCGGTTAGGTGATCCGCGACTTTAATACTCTTGACAAGCATGTCATCAATGTACACTTCCATGTTCTTACCAATCAAGTCCGCGAACATCGTGTTCACCAGGCGTTGGTAAGTAGCTCCTGCATTCTTGAGACCGAACGGCATAACTCGATAGCAATAGATGCCTTGGTCAGTAATGAAACTAGCTCTCTCTTGATCTTCTGGGGCGAGCAATATTTGGTTGTATCCTTGATATGCATCAAGGAAGCTGAGAAGTTCGCACCCTGAGGTTGAGTCTATGAGCTGGTCGATCCTTGGTAAGGGAAATGGATCCTTCGGGCATGCCTTGTTGAGGTCGGTGAAGTCTACACATAGCCTCCACTTGCCTCCGGGTTTAGGTACTAATACCACATTGGATAACCACTCGGGATACTGAACCGATCTAATGTGGCCTGCATCTAAGAGTTTTGCCACTTCCTCTTTGATATGTTTGTTGCGCTCAGGACCGAAAGTCCTTTTACGTTGCTTGACCGGTTTCAATCTTTTGTCAACGTTTAGTCGATGCAATGCTACTTTCGGAGGAATTCCCGTTAGATCTTGAGCTTTCCAAGCAAATACGTCTCCATTTTGCCTAAGGAAGTTAACTAGCTGATTCTCCACTTCTTGATCTAGATCAGAGCCAATGCGGAGAAGCTTAGAATTATCTCCGGGTATGAGTTCTACTGATTTGAGCTCTTCAACCGCGGCTAGCTTGGCGGTGTCGTCGGGTACACTGATTAGGATTTCTTTATCAGCTTCGATGACTGCGTTGACCCATTTTCGCTTATCTTGTCTCGGGGTGTCGTCTCCTTTCCCTAGAGGAATAGGTCTCTTAGATGGTTCACGTAGAGCTCTTGCATAACATTCTCGAGCGAGACGCCTATCTCCAAGTACCTCTCCCATCCCGTAAGGAGTGGGGAATTTCCACTTTTGGTGGTAAGATGAAGGCACAGACTTGAATGTATGGATCGCGGGCCTTCCCACGATGATGTTATAAGGGGATGGTTTGTCGACGATAAGGAATTTTATCATTTTCGTCACTCGACAAGGATCTTCCCCTAAGGAGATGGGTAACTCTACTTCCCCCATGGATAAAACACCTTCTCCCGTGAATCCTTTCAGTGGTGTAGTGATGGGACTGAACCGTGCGTTGTCTATGCCTAGCTGCTTGAATGTGTGGAGATACATAATGTCGGCTGAGCTCCCACCGTCCACTAATATCTTTTTAACTATGAAATTGGCCACCGTTGCTGTTATCACTAACGCATCGACATGATCTTCATCTGGACGTTCAAGGTCCGAGGAGTTGAAGACTATGCCATGATCAGGTCTTCGTATTTGATAGACGGATGCGGATGGAGAAGCATGTTCTTGATTCATACGTGCTGATCGAGCGAGGGTGCGTCTCGCATTTTGTGAGTCGCCACCTGCCGGTCCTCCGGAGATAAAAGAGATGATTCCTCGGGTGGGTTGGTTATCATTGTTATCTGGGTCGCGCCGATGACCCCCCTCCTCTCGTCGTTGCTGTTGATCTCTATTGTTATCTCGGCGTGGAAGATCATCGCGGCGCTTATTTCGAGGCTTATCAATGTATTCGCTCAAGTGGCCTTGCTTGATCAACCTCTCAATCGCCAATTTGAGTTGCGCACATTCCTCGGTAGTATGCCCTTTATCTTTGTGGAATCGACAATAGCGATCCGATTTTTCTCGTTTTGCATTGGGTTGCATTGGGCGTGGAGGCTCTGCCAGACCTTTTTGTTCAATCACATGAAGTATTTCAGTGAGACGAGTATTGAGTGGAGTGAATCGATTATAAGTTGAAGATGATTGGCCTTGAGGCGGGGGTGGAGGACGTCGATCATCTCGTCTCCTAATATCCGGGCGTTCATCTTCTCTCTTCCTCTTGGGAGGAGCATTGGCAGAAGCTTCCTCTATGCGTATGTATTTTTCAGCTCGATTTAACAGCTCATCTAAGTTGCCAGGAGGTCTTCCTGCGATAGATTCTTTGAACCTACCCGACTTCAGGTTTTGCTGCATAATCCCTGAGAGCATATCTTGTCCTACACTGGGAACTTCATGAACAGCCTCCACAAAACGCCTGATGTAGTTGCGGAGTGTTTCATTGTCTCTCTGTACGATAGAGAAGAGATGTGCTGGAGTTTTAGCATATTGCTTATTGATGGCGAATTGGTTGGTGAAACGCAATGACAACTGAGCGAAAGTGTCAATTGAT